TTGAATTAAACTTAAGAATTTAATTTTAATATCAAAATAAAATTTATATGATCATACATATGTGCATACATATAATTGTTTATATGCATTGATTAAAGTTATAATTTTTTTGAAAAAAAATATGCATATAGACATATATACTTTCATATGCATTGAAATATATATATATATATATATATATATATTCAACATATTTTGGTATTATATTGGAAAACAAGGGATTATCTAAAATGTTACTTAGTATAAAATGCTCACTTTTCATTTATGTTTTTAGTATAAATTAGAAAAAATATATAATTGACACTAAAAATCTTGTTTTTTTCAAAAGTATGTTATGTTTTGATCATAAATTTTAAAAATAAATTTATATCCATATATAGGATGTTGCTAAAGCCACTATAGTATTTGTTACTATCACCATAATTTACCATCTACCACATGTCATTACAATATTTATTATTGCTACTACAATTTATTCATGTTAACTTTTCAATAAATTTATTATTAAAACTAAATTTTATTTATTTACATATATATATTTAAAATTAATTTAATGAAATATTAATAGTTTTTTATTATATATATGTATTAAATAGGTGGTAGGTTGTGGTGGTAGTAGCAAAAATGTCATTTGCAATACCCTATATATACGTAGACACATATACACACTTTTAAACTCTTTAAATATAATATGATATTTGAATATTAATAAATGACATAAATGACATAAAATATTTCAACAACTAAATAAAATATTTTATTTAGTTGTGAGTACAATAATATTATAACAACTAAATTATAATGCTTAAACCATCTTCAAGATAATAATAATAATATTCAAGAACAAACATAGTTCAACTTCAAGTTACATAGCATTTAGACCATTCACAATGCAACAAACTAGAGTTGATTTTCAATATCCTTTTTGCCATTTTCTCCACTGAAAGAGCACATCACCAAAGGAGAAATCCCTTCAACATCCAAAACCTCCAATAACTTCAATTAAACCGCACAAACATATGCATCCATGCTTTTTTCCACACAATGTCAGAATAAAAGAAAAAAAAGAAAAATAGAATAACTTCAATTTCTTCGCATAAACAGAATGTGAACCGAACAAGAATCCAAACAACGTCAGATCGGGAACCTTTTCAATGAAGAAATGCCCACATTATTAGAATAGCAAAAACAAACACAATGAAGGGAGTTGGGATTGATACTACTCGAGGTTGAATTCCATCATTTCTTCTAGAATGGTCTAGAATGATCCTGCAAAACCACACAATCCATGCAACACATGTTTCATAGATTTGCAATTCACATGCTGCTGTGATCGGGTGGATTTGCGGCGAGCTACGATGAGCACCACCACAACGTTGTGGTGGTGCTGCAGGTTGTTCAGCAAGCTGGGTTCCGCCCATGGGCGATGGGGAGATTCTAACCCGGCGTTGCTCGAGTATCGGACCCCGTTAAGTTGGTGTGCTGGTGGACCTCACAGTGCGCCGATCGCACGTGGCATCAGCGGGTGTTTAGGATACGGTAGCGCCGAGTCGGGAATGTACCGCGACACTGATGACTAGTGTGTGAGTATGTACTTACACCCTAAACCTGCAGCAGCAGCAGTGGTCACCAGGCTCACAACCGTGCACTGAGATCTGTGTCTTGTAGTAATGTGTGTGTGTGTGTGTGTGTTGATTCTTTTCCTTACGGTGGAATCTTCGAGCCAGCAGTGGAGTCGGAGACTTGCAGATGAAGTTGAGGTGGGTGGATCTGCACATGCACAGTGGAAGCTTGAATGCCGCAAGTAGTAGAGCTGCGTGTGCTGACCACACAAGGGGGGAGTATCGCTCCACTGATGGAGGAGGGTGCGCAATCCCCATCTGGGATCGATCTGCTTTGCCCACCTCGGATCCTGAAACCCTAAAACCACCGTCTTGCAACCCTAAAACTCACCCTGTGGAGGAATAGGTACCCAGCTGGTACTTGGTACGAGATGGAGTTTTAAATCTTTAAATCTTAGAAATTCCTAGTGTCGAAATTTTAGAGCAGTCCAACAATTGATTGCATGCCATTGAGTTGTCCACAAAATTTAGGACATTTATCCAACATTCATCTTTATTGACATGCATGGATGATATGTAGTTGGAGGAATAATGTCAAAGTGTAAGTTGGATATCTATTATAAAAAATTGATTATTTTTTAGAAATTAATATTGTAAAACTTAGAACCAAAAAATTTAGAGGTGTAAACCCTAAAAAGAATAGAACTTGAAACACTAATACTTTAGAATTTTAATCCTAAATCTTAGAGCTTTAAAAGTTGGAATTCTAAATCTAAGAGCTTGGAACTTTCACATAGATTTTCAAATTCCAATACTTAGAATTATAAACCTTAAGATTTGGAACCATAATTCCAATAGCTTAGAGATATAAATTTGAAGATTATTATTATATAATTATAAATTGGTAATTATATATTAAGATATTGTAATAATCATAAGCATAATTTTCATGCAATATTTTTATTTTTTTGATTTTTTTAATATGTAATATATCTAAAATTATTTCAACATAAAATATAACCATATTGAGTGAAACAAGACCATACTATCTCAAAAATCTAAGATTCTTCCAATCCACAACATAAGGCTTCATCACAAAATAGAACAAAACATATCAGAACAAAACTAAACGGAATTAAACAGAATAAGACATGAAAGACAAAACTGAGGAAACAAAAATAGAACAGAACAAATTTGAATAGAAAGATGCAAAACCAAACTTTACTAAGAAAAAAAATCCAAAGCCATACCTGACTAAATATCCCAAAAGGCCTTGGTTAGTTTTATTTATACCTTGTCCTACTACCTTGGACCCTTCTAGAATGTTTTTAGGTAGTAGGCTCCACCTAGATAACCGCCCTAAGCCTTTTCTAGAAGGTTTTATGGTGGGCCCCATTTAAATAACCTCTCTAAATCCTTTTTATAATTTTATATCCATCTTCACTATTTTGAAATGAATTCTCCAAAACCTTGATACAAGTTAAATCTCTTTATCCAATACAATATTTCTTAGCAATAAATGTTGTCAAAAAAAAGTTTAGTTGTTTCTTCACCTATGATAGATTTTGTATATGGTACAAAATATGCCATCTTGGTAAAATGAACTATTATCACAAATATAAAATCATAAAAATTTAAAATTAAAAGATCCGTGATAAAATCCATAGAAATGGAAGACTATGGTTATTCAAGTATAGGTAATAGCTAAAACATATAAGTAATATTTATAAACTGTAATATTTAATTTTTAATGTATATTTGTAATACAATATGTTCTTATAGCTTTAATATAAAATATAATTTAAGAATATTATATATATATATATATATATATAAGAATTATTTATTTTATTCATTGCATAAACTTATTTAATATTACAATTAACAATTTTTCGATATGGTTTTAAGAATTATTGTAATGATCATTGTTATTATCTTTATAATTCAAATATTAATTTATCCACCATAAAAATGTATATTCAATCTAAAATAATCATTTCAAATACTACTTTATGTAAAAAATAGATAAATAAGTAAATAAAAACTTGTACTTTGAAACAATGTCTTCAAGTATAACAAAGAAATTAGATTTATATTAAGCAATCAATAAAAAATTTAGGTTTTTTTTTTTTTTTTTTTTTTTTTTTTAAAAACAAACATGTTTATTTCATTTTGTAAAGAATATTGAACTTATACAGAAGCTTCCTTTCCACATGCAATCCAAACGACAAACATCATCATTATAAAAAAAATAAAAGATTTTTTTATTTCAATTTTTTAGAACAAAACCCAAATCAATCTTTGAATCAATACAAATTCAACTATTTTTTAGAATATTTTAAAAAAAAATATGGCCCAATTTGTGTAAATTCTTGAAGCATAATTAATTATAATTGTAGTATACAAAAACTTAGTTGTTAAGCCAAACAAAATTGTGACCATTGCAATCTATATTTTTTTATGCTCTAAAGAAATAAATTTTAGGTTTTATTTTTACTATAAAAATTAATAATATTTAATCATTTACAAACTACGACAAACTATTAGCTTTCTCTCTCACTCTCTAAAAGCATATACAACCTAGGCCATGAAAGGTGATTGATTTGACCTCAAAACTTATGTCTTAGTCAAATAACTTAATGATATGAATAGAGTTGTACATATAAACAATATCAATTTGATAATTGTATGATTTGAAGGCAAATCTTCATCATGATTAAATCTTAATTATTGAGATTTTTCTTCTTTATTTTAAATTATTTTAAATAACAAAATAAATAATACTAAAAAGATAAAAAAAATTAAAAATCCTGAATAATTTGTTTCAAGAATAGATTCAAAAATAAGAGAGCATTAAGAAATTATTGAAAACTTTGCTCATCTTGATTTAATGATTTATGACTCAAGATGATAGATGTCCCACAAAATTGAATTGTTTACTTTGGAATTTGAATTCAATACGTGACTTTGATGCTCAAGAGTTAATTTATTGCAATTAGTTTTTTTCTCTATTATACATCTCCTTTTGAAAAATAATAATTGAATTAGATTATAATCTGATTTTGTTTATGTTAAATTTCTTATTATGTTTTTATGTTCTCATTGTTTTTTTGCTATTATTATAAAATTAATCAAAAAAAAAAAAATTGGGTGTTGTTTGTTTGGACTCTCAAATATTGTATGATTGCAAATTTACTTCTTAATAATTTTGAAATACTTGCTCTGTGTTTTATCTTAACAATAAGCAAGTATACAGATACATCTGTTGGATAAACTACAACTCATCTCAAATCTTCTCTGGTCATTCTGTGCAGCATGGACCAGTGGCTATCAAATCATATAACATCTTTGTTATGAGGTCTAATGACCAAAGCTCCGAGAAACAAATTTAGTGTTGAAATTATTATCAATCTTACTGACTTCAATCTGCAACAGAGGTTATACAACGTCTAGTAGAGAATGCGTGTTCCATTACAGCGTCACGTAACTTCAAAGATTTCTCAAGGTTTTTTACGACAAATCAGAACATAATAGTCAGATGGGAGTCAAAGAAAGGGAACGCACTCTACACTGTCCAAGTTCACAGAATATCTAGCAGGTCTCCAATAATGGTAACAGGCTTACAATGACTGAAAATCTTTTTTAGATCTGAAATTTTCTGTGGTCCAGCTTTGATCTGCAGTAACTACTAGCCTGCACTTCTAAAATTTGAAGCAGAAGAGCGAACAATGTAGTCTGCGTCATAGCATACAAGAAGCAAATTTTCCCACCTGGCAGTGTTGGTTTGTGGGACTGAATCTCACTTCCAAGGATTATGTCGATTTAAAATCCTTCCACACATATCACTTCAATCAATAACACCTGTACCAATTGAATGTGGATAGGAAGATACACGCCCAGACTAACGCCTTGACCTGGCATTCTATCACAGGACAAGTCACAACCTGGAAAATCATCCTGAATGGCAGTCTCTCAGCAGCAATTCGAAGTTAAATATCTCGTTTTCGACCTGCCCAAGGGGATCAATCTGTAAAAAGACTTCACCTTAGCCGATACATACGATACATAGTATAAAGTCGCAGCATCCTCTGCCCGCCAACTTGCCACATGAGATTGGTGAAACCTAACAGCCAAAAGCTTACGGGAGCACTCTTCAGCTAGAATGATGATCTGAAACAGATGAGAAGACGGATTACTTTCAGTCTCTTGACATGAGTTCTCTTAAATTAAACTGAAGTACTTCTTCGTCAACTAATTCATTCTGCGCACTTGTATCACCCACATTCTTACCTTCATATGTATTGTCCATCCCATCGTCCTCAGCGAATAAACTATCAGGGTTATCATCCTCCTCCTCATCTTCTTCGTCTTCTTTACTGGGTTGACCTTCTTCGTATTCCTCCTCTCCTTCAGAAGACTCCCACCCTTCTAGGTTCTCCAAACCCTCCCCATTAATAGATGGTTGCAAGGCATCGGTGTCAATATCAATTTCTGGTGAGAAAGCTTGATTAACTTGCTGTGAGGGTTCTGCTTGCTGGGCTGCCTCGGCCTGAGCTAAGGCTTTTGCTCGGGCGGCTTCGGCCTGGGCTTGAGCTTCTGCTCTTGCTTGCGCTTCAGCTCGAGCTTTCTCTGCTTGGGCTAGAGCTTCCTTAACTCTTGCTTCTTGCGCTTCTCGTTCTGCCCTTTCTTTCGCTTCAATCTGAGCAGAAGAGCAACTTAAAAAGTGTTAAACCCACATAAAACCATAAAATCTGGTTGAAGTTCACAAAACTGTCACTGTTCCTACTATTCGGGGAAGGGAAAGAAGAAAATGAAAAAAATGAGAAGATGAAATAAAATATTAATAAAAAAAAAATAATAATAATAATCACAACCCAGAAGTGCAGCACAAACCTTGGCACGAGCGTCAGCAAGTTTTTGTCTCTCGTCAACAAGCAGGTACTTTTCTACGAGTAATCTCTCTTCCCCACGCATTTCACCATCTGCTCTTTTCTTCATTACTGAATTATAAGTGTTTATGTGTTTCTCCAAGGCTCCAACATACTCAGCAGTCTTGGCTTTCAGGGTATCATTCCAAGATTGCGCCCTAGAAATCAACAAAGACGTTGCACCACTTTGGGCTTCAGCGGGTGTGAGTTCCAATTCTTCAGGGTCATACTCTGCCAAAACATGATACGGAAGGAGTCTGCATTCATTAAGCGGAGTGCAACCACGTCAGTTTCACTTATAGAATTCGACCATATATATATATATATAGATATATATTTTCACGTCGGAACACTCCAAACTTCATAAAAAACAAAACCTAAACTAAATACTCAAGCACCTAGAATCACAACAGAATGTGAAAGCATGTTGAATCCAAGAGACGAACACATTATACATGTAACAAACACCTGTCGCAAGCTCAGGCTCTGCTTCATTAATGTTCAACTTGAAAAATCCTCTTGCGGTTTCCAAGTTGAATACAAGAAAAGCAGAATTAGTAATAATCTAGGATCCGAACCTTTGAGTCCCCCATTACTTAGTCCAACATCACGCTCTTCATAGGTTCTACCAGATTAGACTGTGCATTAATTATCTATCTCGCATTAATTGCATTACAACACAAATGTTGTTTTGTGTTGACCTTTCAGGTCACTGCTCTAGATCTACACCTCTGAAACTCTGGCAGACTGCAAACACGCCGACATGAATGATTGAAATCCTTTTGAAATTATTTCTGGTACCAAAACTGCTCCAGAAATTCTCAAGTCACTAGGACATAGACACAATTAAGTTCAATAAACTCCCTTCAACTGCTTCCATACAGATTACTTTTCATATTCTAAAACTTATATGACCGTGGACCTCGGTTCAGATTCTAGACGCTGCTAATGATGACCTTCGGTCAGCAAAATTTCAAATGTAAACTTAAATAATATTTAGACAATATTGAACCTGAGAGATCGATTAAAATAGGACAACTGCTCTTTTTCACAAATGGAAAACCTCAAGGTGGACTTTGAACGAATTTAGGGCTTTGATAATTCCTTTATTCCCATGTTTTGAAACTCAGGCCTAAGCTCTACCGGACATAAGGGGTTATTGCGTACATCCTTCAAACACATTTAAATCGTTATCATGCATACGAGATTGCAAGAACATAACCTACGTACGAATGAAGAAAATAAATGCAACATCGATCAGTCTGGGTTAGCAATAGAGCGTAATAGCACACCGAAAACACCCCTTCAAAGCCCCAGCTCCCATAAGCCCAGATCAAACAGCTACCACAATATCATCACTTCAGCGACGCTCTCAGACGCTCTATGCTCAATGATTCGAGCAACTAAACAAGAGAATATAGCACACTTTGACATTTCACTGACCATGATCAGAAAGCGGCGACCTTACCTATCCCCAAAGATACTATTAAGCACATTATTGAAACATTTCATTATTCACAACCGCCGACAAGTTCAAAAGACAGCAATGCACCCATCACCCCAAGAAGCATCAGCTAATACTCTCAATTTCCGTCCGAACAAACTTAACGATCGCACACAAAAGAAAACCTCACTCTTTTTTCCAGCTAGTTTCATCTTGGAAAGATATGAAAATATATGAAAAATGATTTAAACATTTTATATGCAACAACAGCAAAAACAACTTGAAAATTCAACATACCTATCACAAGCGTCATCAATTGAGGAAAAAGGCCGCTTGACGTCGGGATTACACACACGAAGCACATCCTGACGCGCCATGTCGACCTCCATCCTGTCCGGCACCCGCATCTCAACCCCGCCAATCCTGTTAGCCTTTGCATTCGAAGCAGCCGACGCAGGGGTCGCCTTCTTGGTCACCTTCGCAGGTGGCTTCGCCGGCTGTGGCTGCTGCTGCTGGGCATTCGCAGCTGCTACTGCCGTATCCGCCATCGCCACCCCTTCAAGTATACACCCCCCCCCCTCCCGCCCAATCCTCAAGTTCCCCCTAATCTACCGTCTCATATGCCTCCAACAATCCGGAGCATAACCGTTTCTCCCCCTACCCCCCAAAACTTTTTTTTCCAAAGAACACAAACACTCTGACAAATACCCAAACGCTCTCACTACTACCCCTGCATGGATAAAATCTCACACTGTCTAAACACGACCCGAACGCTCTTTTCACACGTTGTTTCTCCAGTCCCGCCCGGTCTGCTCCTCCACGAAACCGCCGTCTCGGCTCACAACCCACATTAGCATTTCCGTCACAGATCCTCCCAAACTCCTCCTCCTCCTCTTCTTCGACGTAAACCTAAACCCACACTGCAAGCTTCCCTTTCCTTCCCCACCATCCGAATGTGCAGCGTGTGTGAAAGGAGCAGCGATGCAGCGAGTGAGCGAGCAAGTGAGTGAGTGAAATCGAATCAGCGTTACGTTGGGTTGCGATGGATTCAACTCGGGTCGAGGGGAGATGAGGCTTCGAATTGGAGCTTGTTTTGTGTGAGTCATCGAAGCTCGTCGTGCGGCGCTTTGTGGTTCGATAGTGCCTCGTCGTGTTCACAATTTGGATAGGTTTCATCCGGTACTGACAAACGTCGTCTGGGGACGGGTGAGGTTTTTCATCCGTCGGTGAGGTTTTCATTCGCTGAGGTCCAAATAAACTTTTTATTTTTCGTTCGTTCGTAGCCGTTGGGTTTGTCACAACTTTATTTTGTGATTTTTAATGTAGAGTGAAGGAATCAATAAATAAAAAAGTCGATTAAAGACTTTTTTTTTGTAGGAATGTTGGGTTTGTTTGGAACGAAAACAGAAAAGTTGTGAAGCGAGATTTAAAGATGATAAGAGAATTCTTCTTTGTCACATTTCAAGGATTCTTTTATTTTTCACATTTTTTAAAACATTGTCTAGAATGGAAAAAATATATTTCCATCCATATTCACTTCTCTTGCCACATGGGTTTTAACTTCTGGTAACTCAGATGTTTATTTTTTTTTTCTATTCTTTTCTTTGCTTTACTTTGATATTAAATTGCAATGTGTGTATAAAAACAATGATAACCTTAAAATCCTTAAATATTAAATAAAATTATAAACCTAAAAATAATTATATTTTAAAACCATATTTTTAAAATTACCTCAAATAAGAAAATTATTAAAGAAATAATATAAAAATGTTGAAAATCATTATTTAGAAAATTATTTAGTAATAATAAAATTTATAAACACTATAAATACATATCATTACTTTTTTCTTATTTTAAAATTTTATTTTACAAAGTTATAATACAAATGTGGCGTTTTTATACTCTTTACAAGTTGAACATTTGGATTTTGAACATTGACAACTTCAAGCAACTTCCAATGAAATTATTATAAAACCAAAAATCAAAAACTTAATTCAAGAAAACAAGTTCAATATATATATATATATATATATATTTACATAAAAAAATTCAACCAACCTATGTTAGGTTGGAGCATCAAAAAAATCCATTGGCTAGAAGAATAGGGTAGTAAAATCCAATTATGGATTTAATCCAATTACTACTAAGTTATCCAATTATTGGAATTAGAAGATGAGATGGACCAGGTTGGTGGCAGTGATGGCAACTAAAGCAGCGCAAATGAACCCAACCTACACCTAGTTGATGTGGCACTATTTTTTAAATTATTATTTATTTATTTAATCACAAAAATAAACACTGATTGGCTAAAAAATCTGTGCTTGTCATCAAATTTTCTTAATTGACTAAATGTTGATTGATGTATGATTGGTTGAATTTTTTGAAATATTTGCCAACCATTGTGTGAGATGTTTTTGCCTCAATAAATATTTAGCTTGCTAAATGGGTTTCCTTTTGAATATCTATATATATATATATATATGTGTGTGTGTGTGTGTTTCTTTTTTCATAACAGTGATTTTTTGGGCATTACTATTAATTTATACACTAGTTTCACAATTTTATTGTGCTTACAAATTTTAACTTGATTATTCATTATTATTTAAGGTTATTCTTTGGTAAACTTTTTTTTTAGACCATTCATATTACTTAAGATGTATTTTTGTAAAAATATACAATTATTATTATTTTTTTACATAGGGGTACTATTTTTAGCTTTAATGTGGTATAAAATCTGCAATGTTATCTAGACTAATTTAATCCTTAATTGTATGCATTGCACTTTCATTTATATGATTTATTTAGATTTTGAAGTGTAGAGATAAAATTGTGTAGTATCCTTCACAGAAACTAAAAGGTGGTTACTAAGTTTGATGATAAATTACATTTTTTGGATTAATTTGTAAAATGAATTAAATTCAACATCAATTTATTTGTTTTACATTTATTGCTTCATAAATTTACTAGTAAATGAACGACATGTTTTTTATTTGGTGATTATATATATATATATATATATATATAAGAAGTAAAAAATTTGCAACAATTTTTGAGATAAAATAAATTATACAAGATACTTTCTATTTACTAAATTGAATTTATATTTTTATTTTCTATGATCTCAAGTCAACAAAAAATATAAAATACTAAAAAATTTATAAATGTTATGTTAAAATATTTTACAATATTTATGTGTGCAATAAATTATTTTATTCAATTGATTTTTAAAATTTTAAATATTTAATTTTACTTTATTTTCTAATATTTTATATTATATATATATATATATATATATATATATATATATACATATATATATAGTTGTTAAAACCACACTCCACATTACCATCTCATGATCAATTTTGTCTATCTTCATCTTTGTCCATTGTTTTATGTCCTTCATCTCTCTATTCTCAAATTCCACTCCTTGTTCCTTGTTCCTTGTCCCCAAAATTAATCATCACATGGTTTGGAGATGTGGCTTTAACAACATTGGGGTGTGGTTTTAACAACTCCTTATATGTATATATATATATATATATATATATATATACATACTAAAATAATCCTATTTTTCAAGCTAAATATTTATAAAATTATTGCAATTACTTCAAATCACTTATATTTGTATTTAATAGAGATGATTTTGTAATAATAAAATATATAAAAATTTACTAAAATTATTGCAATCCAAAAAAAAATTTATAAAATTTTACCAAGTTGGTGATTATTTTTATTTCAATAGGTTAAACCAAGTACATAAGTGCTCTAAGCAGGGGTTGGGAATATAGATGAAAGATGGTTCAAGGTGAGGTAGAATTGATTTTAAATGGTTTAATTTAACTCTCTAAATGGTGCTAACAACCCATAAGTGGTTTTTGTAGATGGATAGACAAACATACACCATCTTTTTTTATAAATAAATATGCATACCAAATAATTTTTTGATGCTTAATAGATGAATAAAAAATATCATAAAATAATTATTTTTAAATTTTAAATATTTATTTTGATTTATTTCTTAAAAAAATCAGTTAAATTAAAAAATGGCATTGTTTTTTGATTATCTTCAAAGAAACATAGAATATTATTTTAGTATTTTTGATGAATTTGAAGATCAAGTTTTCATTTATGAAGAAAAATAAATAAGTGAATTATATTCTTGGAAAATTTTATACATATTAAATATTATATTTATTCAATATCTATTATAAAATATATTATAATTATTATTAAGGTTATTATTATTGTATTGAATTGTGATTAAAATTGTGTCTTCTTTTAAAAACGTAGAAGTTGTTATGGCATTATATATATACAAATATATATAGATATTTTTATAATTTAATTAAAATGATATATATTTTATAACAAAATATGTATAAAAATTAAAACATAGTAAATATATAATAAAAAATATAGAAGAAAAAAATTAGGAACAAAAAGACACGCTTATAAAGACATTCTCAAAAAGATACAAATTTCTAATTAATCATCCTATTGCTCTCTTATTTTAATTATCTTTTCTTTTTATAAGAATATTACTTTACAATGTATAATTTAAGAAAAATATCCCTAATTAAACAACATATGCAATCAATACATGCATAACTATTTCAAAGAAATTCCCAATACATTTGTATTATTACACACTTTGTATTTTTTTTGACATTATAAGATTAAATTACATGCAAGATTCTATTAACACACAATTACGATTTTAAAGCTGATATTTAATTTATCAATAATAATTATATAATTCCAACATATTCAAATACAACATGCTATCCTTCAATGGTATATGATTAGTGTAAATCTCTAAATATGATTTTTTGAACTAAAAATTACTTTCAATTAGTTTGATATTTGAAGGATTTTGTACCCATTTCACAGCCATTAAGTAATGAAAAAAATATTTTGGAGCCAAAATTAGGATTTTAATAAATAGGTGGCATAAATGGTGTTCATGGAGCTCAATTTTTTTGCTTAAATATCTTAAGAGTAGAATCTCACATTTTTTTTACACAAAACCTTCATTTTGATAAGTTATATTTTGTTTGTTTTTATGCATGCATTATTTATAAAAGATCAAAAATAAATTGTGGACAAAACAAAATTTCTATACCTTGATAATATAATTATGAATTGTTAAATTAATCCATGCATCCATTTAAATCAATCTACTAAATCAATTGAACTCCTAAATAATATCATTTTGGGATGCTTTAATTTATTGTTGATCTTATATAAGAACAATTGATAAAGTTGAGCAATAAAATCTATCAAAATTGCCACTAATTTTATGTCTATTGAAAGACACTGGAGCCAAAGTTGAATGAAATTATCATATAAACATTTTTGAGCATTAGAGAGGTAGAATGGATATGCAAATTTGTTGTGCATCTAGTGAAATAAAATAGTCTTTCATTCAGAATTTTGTCAAACTAGATAGAATTGTCAACTTGAAGTTCATAAAGATTATATTCAAAAATCATCCAAGTTAGTTTATTCTTATTGTTGAGTGGAGCCACAACAAAATTAATTGTTGTCAATTGAGTGAATAATCCACAAGTAATTTTTATTGCTGTAAAGTTCAAAATATTACAAAATCAATGATATCCAAAAAATATGAATCAACAAACCTTAATTCTTTGAGATTTAAATCTACTTTGCCAAATTATTTGATGATCCTTAGATTTGATATATATTCGATTCAAGATTCAAGTGTAGTTATTTGCGATTGGTATCATTCAATGATTAAGTAGCATATGAAATAATTATATTCTTTTGATTTTTAAGTAGCCAGTTGAAGCTATATGATGACAAAAACTCTAATTTCTTCATTTGAAGCTCTTTAAGAAATTTAAGCTTGTAGTATTAGATGAAATTTTATAGAAGAACTCCAACAATGGATATTCATAAAAGAATTATTAATGCATTCAAGCCTACTGAGTATGAAAAAAAAAGATAAATAATGCTCATTTGCAGCTAGAGTGGAAAATTATATGTCAATCTTAGGATTTCTAAATCAAAAATTATTCCATCTGTAAGTTGTTGAAAGCAACAATGAATGCAATAGAAAAGACTTTTGCTTCCATGACCAAAAGAAAGTCACA